CTTCTTCTTCTTCTTCTTCTTCTTTGTATTGTATATATAATGCACTTTCTTCTTCATCTTCTTTGTACTGCGTCCCTTCAAGACATAGGCGATTCACAACTCTCCACAACTTCCAATTTCGTTTTGCTGTTAACTATTTTCACCCTTTCTTTCACTTCCACCCCCAGTTTCAGCACCCATTCACAAAAGCTCGTCAGATAAGCTTCTTTCTCCTATCTTTCATACCAATGATATGTCTCGTGAGGTTTAAGTTTTACAAGAGCCTCTTTCCTCATTAGATTGTCCAAGGAATTTCATCTGTCTTTTCTTGATTCCGAATAGAAGTTTTCTTTCTGTTGCCATCTTTAAGACTTTCTTGTTGATTCCTCGTTCGGTCTTTGAGATTTCCAGTGTCCCTCAGTAAAGCCAAATTTCTGCTGCCTCTTATTTTCGCTTGATCCGTAGGGAGATTGTCTAACTGCCATATAAGAAAATGGATAGCAATCCAGCACTCTTTTCTTCTGTTTCTCAGAAAACTTTATTAATTTTGGAATGCTTCTTTCGCTAATCCAATACGTGTTACGTGTTCAAAGGAGGCACGGTGGAGTTATGGATAGTGGCCCGGATTGAGGTATCAGAGAGACGAGTTCGAATCTCAGTGGAATCCATTACATTCACTTACGTGCTCAAACATTTAGGAAATGTATGAATCTTCTTCTTCTCCCCCCAGCTATGAGCAACTATCAGGACAGACCGGGGTCTATGGCGACTGGTCTACCTCAGAAAGAAATGGCAACCTACTGCAGGAAAAAAATCTGCATTGTCAGTCATGTATCAAAAGATATATGATCGCCTAAACGTGTATCACTCATGGCTCATAACTGACTGATATTCACTTACGCGCAAATACTTTCGGAATGATATGAATCCTCTTCTTCCCTCAGGTATGGGTAAATAGCAGGACAAACCAGACCCTATAGCCTTGGATGGCAACTGGTCTACCGCAGAAAGAAATGTCAACCTACTGCGGGAAGAATCTGCCTCGTCAGTGATGTATAGAAAGATATATGATGGCCTAAGCGTGTATCACGCATGGCACATAACAGACTGATATTCACTTACGCGCAAATACACTTGGGAAAGATATGAATCCTATTCTCCTCCCCTCAGCTATGGGTAAATAGTAGGACAGACCGGGTTCTATAGCCTTGGATGACAACTAATCTACTGCAGAAAAAATGGCAACCTACTGCGAGAAAAAAATCTGCCTCGTCAGTCATGTATCGTAAGATACATGATCGCCTAAGCGTGGTTTCCGCATGGCACATAAATGACTGATTTTCACTTACGCGCAAATACTTTTGGGAAAGATATGAATCCTCTTCTCCTCCCCCCCAGCTATGGGTAAATAGCAGGACAGACCGCATACTATAGCCTTGGATGGCAACTGGTCTACCGCAGAAAGAAATGGCACCTACTGCGAGAAAAAGAATCTACCTCGTCAGTCATGTATCGAAAGATACATGATCGCCTAAGCGTGTTTCACGCATGGCACACAACTGAGTGGGTGTTCCGACCTCGGAGGCACATTTTCCATCTTCTGTTAAAACTCTCCCCAGATATTTAAAATTCTGCACCTGCTTGATGTTTACATATCCAATAACATCTTCTAACTCACATCTTGGGACTTTTTTTTCTTGCTGATGACCACAGTTTCTATCTTCTTACAGTTGCAGATAGTCCTTTTTTCTCGCTTTCTTCTACCACCACCCCGTCTAGGAAGTCATCTAGTTTTCTTTCCAAGTCCATAATCAACACATTCTCATTTGCGTATCTTATATTGTCAAGATTACTCCCAACGATAATAAATCCTAATATAGGTTCTATAGTTTTCTTCGGATAGCGTCGCTGTAGACGTTGAATATATCTGGCGAGAAGACACACCTTTGCCTCACACCGCTTTTTATTTTTATGCAACTACTTAATTCATTTTCGATTCGTATGCAGTCCGTTTGCTCCTAGTATATAAGTTCTGGATTATTCTAACAGATTTTCTAAACGGTATCTCAATACCAATGTCTGGAAGCGGTAATGTTCGAAAGATATTGTTGTTATGATGCAATATTGTGAATGTTTTAAGTCGGTCCTGATGTTATATCTATAAATCATCTTTTTGTCGTATTAGTTTTGGCTATTTGGCTAAATATCGTTAGCGTAGCATGTGTCTCACCTCAGAACACACTAGACATTTTATACAGAGTAGTTCAGAGAATCTAGGTTCAGGGTTGATTTGGGATACCCTTCAAGCCAGCGGAGGAGATCAAGGATTTCTTCCATGTCAGTGGGAACCGCAACAGGCGAATACGCATCGGCCAAATTGCACATGGGTTGTAAGCGGGAGAAGGAGGTAGAGACCATAAGCACATACCCTAGCGGGAAGAGGGGTGTCTTTCTCAGACAAGTCAGATTGGGAACGTTAAGTCTAATTATTATATTTATTTTTTATATAGATATAAATAAAAAGCCGGCAGAGAAGTTCATTGATTCCTTCGATTTCAGTGAGAACCGCGACAGGCGAATTCATGTCGGCCAAGTTGAACCTGGGTTTTAAGCGGGGGAAATAGGTAGATGCATAAGCACATACCCTAGCGGGAAGACGAGGTTAAGTCTACGATTCGGATGAGGTCCTCTAGGCTGTACTCATAATCTGGCCGATATTACTTGACTTGAAGAAGTCGAATAGAGAGTAATTTTTCATATGAGAGATTAAGCCAAGTGTTATCCTAAGTCGGTACAAGCTCAAATTTATGCGATGTCCTAGTTTTTGATCTGGTTGGCGCTGATAGAGAAAATGTAATTCATCTTCAGGCTAATTTGTTCTTTGTACTTCTATTATGTCGTTTTTTTTTATTTACTGAAACAAAATGGCAGTGGAGACTTCTGTGGTCATTGGCCCTCGTTCGATGGCGTTCTTTCGGAGGATTGGCGCGATTGCGTCTCGATTAAGGGACGAGCCTCGCGAAACGGAGTGGCTCTTGCAGCGTGTCTCATTGGCAATGGTTCGAGGTAATGCTTTCTCCATCAATGCGGCTGACAGAGGTTAGAAAAAAATTGTTTATAGTTACTTTGTTCAAACTCTTTTTTGAATAAATAAATTTCTCATTGTTAAAGAAAAAAAAACAAAGAAAATGAAAAGGACTTGAAATTGAAATGAGCGAAATCGTGGAATAAAATTACCAGCAAGGAAAAAATAAAAATACGGTGAACCTGGGGCATAAAAACAAGTATTGTGATGGATGTACGATTTGGTGTAATGGATAGCGTCTCTTCTGTCTAGTCATTCATGAATCGAAAGAGACATGATCACACAAGAGTCTATCACGTAAGGGATTGATTGTATTATAATTACAGACAACATAAACCCTTCCATTCTCAGTCTCTTTCCTATATCCTATATATATATATTCCTTTTGACTTATATATATATATATATATATATATATATATATATATATATATATATATATATATATCAGAATGGGCAAATATAAGTAGGTATACGAGCTTGCGATCGTATACAAATACATATAAATACTCTATAATGTCAGAAAAAACAGTTCAATGTTAAGTAACAGAGCTATTTAACACACACACACACACACACACACACACACACACACACACACACACACACATATATATATATATATATATATATATATATATATATATGAATACTAGCAGCATGGCCCGGCGTTGCCTGTGCTTGATTCAAAAATCGTACGACTCATACAGCAATCGCTATCACTTGACTTAAAATATTTTTGCCCTTCCTTGCCTTTAAATGAGTACCCTTTTCCGTGCTGATGTTGCTACATACCTTACTTCTTGCCTATCTCACACTGCGAATTTTTCTAAGCTCTATACTAAACATTAAATCTGTTACGAAAAAAGAACTAAACAAAATGAACACAAAACGATCAGCTTTAAAAAAGGACTCGTAACTGGAAAAACCGAATGAAAAAAGAATGTTAACAACAAATACTTTTTCACCACCAACCCAGATCTGCGGAATCAGAATCACCGTTGAGTTTAAGCAAGCGAATGAGCCAATTGGAGTAAAGTGCCATGCAGATTTAAATTTTTCCCATTTGTGACGAATGCAGCTATCGATATTTTTTTGCATGCTAGCATGCTGGTTAACATTCGTGTCAGTCAACTGTTGGCTCTCACGCTGGTCAATAGAATCTTCTTGCCTATTCGTGGCAGCCAGCTATAGGCTCTCACTCTGGCCAGTACAAAATGGCCGAAAACTACATGAAAACTCGTAGAAGCGTAAAAAATTCAATTATTTCCACTCTCGATGGGAGTTGGGAAATGCAACGTCGGTCTTGGCCTTCCCGCTAATTTGGAGCATGTGCATGTCAATTTTGGTGCAAATCCGTCGAAAATTGCGGCCGTGCATTCGTTACACACGCACACACATATATCCTGCCTTTTATAGATAGAGATACATGAATAAATATACATAATATTTAAATTAACACACACACGCACACACACACACACACATATATATATATATATATATATATATACAAATCGCAGCAATGTGACAATTTTGTTATCACTCTATTTTCATGTAGTCAGTTTTGTGCACTTTTGGGAGAAACGGATCCCAGAAGCTTTCTTAAGCCTCCTCAAAACTCGCTCGCTGATTGGTCAATGCCAACCAATCAGATCGTCTGCACGTGAAGAGTAACTTTTCTCGCTGCTAAACGAATCCCCGACAGTTGAAACCATGAGTCAACCTTCTCACTCACACACGACCACTCACATGCTGAACATTACTTATACACTGACATAATCTTTTCTTACACAGCAAAATCAGTGAAGAGTTATTATGAGACGTTCTCATAAACATTCTCCCAGTGAACTTTGAAATACAAAAATAATAGTTAAAGAGAGACAACTCTTGTTTTATTCAAACTTTTTTATTTAAATGCATGCTTTCTTTCACATCGTTGTTTGATTGTACATCTTGTTAAATACATATTTGTAACGATGTCTTTTGTTTATCCTTTTCCGCATCAATCTTGTTTCCTGATCTAAAGTTGAATTAATGCGGTGAAGTCCGGCACATGCTAATAACAAAAATAGTGGAGAAGAATCGGAGAGCCGAGTTCGAATTCCAGTAGAATCCATTACATTTACTTACGTTCTAATATCCCTGGGAAAGGTAGGAATTGGTAAATTGCAGGACAGACTGAATGGCAAATAGTCTAGGGGAAGGACAACTCTGAATTGAAACCTGCGACGCGTTGCTTGGGGACCTTGTAGCACGTAGTGCACTTGGTCTCTGTATTCTGCAAAAAGTGTGGTTGATTCTGCACAAAGCCTTCACCACCATAATCAGGGTTATGATAAATCGGATGGATTAGACATGAGTTATAATAATGAAAAGGAGGTGGCGGGAAGGGAAGATTATGAGGATATGGAGGATATATAACTTTTAACCTTTGACTTGAAGAGGAAACTATTCCAAGTGTAGCATATCTTGCGAAAAAGTCTTTCTCCTTATATTTGGAATATGACTGAAATGAAGGTCTTTCGACTCCGTGGAATTAGCATTGTGTCATCGAGCAATAAAGATTTGAACTGGGGAACTAAAAAATGGAGGAATTAGATATGCCTGATATCGATGAAAAGGGTGTGATAGGAAATAAATAATATGACTTATAAGGAGGATAGATAATTCTTGACTCTTGACTTGAAGAAATTAAGATTGTAGTGTTCAGGAAGTATCCCCGCAGGAGCCTGTACTACAGTTTTGTGAAATGGTTTGCATTTGGTATGCGAAGGAAATGAGGCTGTTTCGACCCAATGTCTCCTAACTGTAAAAATATTGAACTGTTGGAACTAAATAATGAAGCTAATTTGTACATATGCGTAACGATAGGCCTGTTGGAAGGAGACTGCTGAGTGAAGAATAAGACATCCAATTTTGTGTAAAAGATTGTGTTCTTTATCAAGCCTGGAAAGAGCAGCTCACTCCCAAATATAGTAGTAATACCCCACTTTGGGTCTAATCTAGATAGATAGATAGATAGATAGAGAGCGAGAAAGGGAGAGATATCAACATAGATAGTGTTATAGAGTAGTTTCACAGTGGAGGCTTGTATTTCACTAAGTCGGTCCTAAAAAGGTTGGATATAACAGTTAATGACGCAGCTATCTAGTTGTGGTGGTTGATACAATAATGTCCGACATCGACTGACTGACCAACTCACTGAGGGACCTCGCGACTGCAACTACTAGATGGGAGAGTCTATTAACTATAGATTATTATAGATGGGAGAGTCTATTAACTATAGAATAGATGTGTTCTAGTATAACAGATAGATAGATAGATAGATAGATAGATAGATAGATAGATAGATAGATAGATAGCGAGAAAGGGAGAGATATCAACAGATATAGATAGATAAATAAGATAGATATGAAAAAAATGAGATAGCTAGCGGGCTACATAGATAGATATGTACAGACAACGATAGATAGATAGATAGATAGATATGAACCAAATGAAATAGCTAGCTACATAGATAGATATGTACAGACCGTGATAGATAGATAGATAGATATGAGATAGCTAACTACCTAGATAGATATGTACTGATCGTGAGAGATAGATAGATAGATGCTCATGACAGCTTACATTTTGATGTTTAAGGAGGTATTTATATTAATTTATTTTTTTCTACTTACCTATTACCTATTCTGTCAAGTCAGACATGGTTTTAACTATTACGATAATATGAATATATGTGTAATCCTTAAATATTTAAAGAAGTCATATATAATACAGGGTGTATCAAAAATATTTTTACAAAATTTGGGCGCCAGTTCCTCAGACCAAAACAAGGACAAAAGTCCATATAAACATTTGTCCGCAAAACCTTCGTTTTTGAGTTATTAAGTTTAAAGTTTACGGTAGACGCTGTTAAATGTACAATCCAAGATACAATGCAAAAATACTTTGGGGTAGGGTGTGGTGTCTCTGACACCGAAACAAGGTAATATGTCGATGTAAATATGTCCAAAAGGCCATCATTGTACCTCAACACAACTCATAACATATATTCAAATCGACATATTTAGATAGATAGATAGATAGATAGATAGATAGATAGATAGATAGATAGATAGATAATGAACAGATCGGGATAGATAGATAGATAGATAGATAGATAGATAGATAGATAGATAGAGAATGAACGGATCGGAATAGATAGATAGATAGATAGATAGATAGATAGATAGATAGAGAGATAGATAGATAGAGAATGAACAGATCGGGATAGATAGATAGATAGATAAATAGATAGATAGATAATGAACAGATCGGGATAGATAGATAGATAGAGAATGAACGGATCGGAATAGATAGATAGATAGATAGATAGATAGATAGATAGATAGATAGATAGATAGATAGATAGTATCCAAATCGCTAAACATTATTCCGCCGTGCCTCCTTCACTGTTTAAGTAAAATAATTAAAAAAAGAAAAAAGAAAAAAAGAAGCAGCTCAAATACAACCACTGATGAAACTATTAAAAATAACGTTATGAAAATAATTAAATTAGGAATAATCCCGGATTAGAAAATCCATTTATAGATTACATTACCTACCCTGGAATCTGGATAACTTGGAACCAACTTAACATCGTCTTCAGTATGAGGAGCGTGGAACCACCATTTAATAGCTGTTTTTTTCCAGACCAACCCTGAACTGTGGTGGTAGCACCTGTTAGGGTCCCAGCTATAGGCAAATAATGAATTCCAAAACTGGGGTCAAATTATTATGTAAATATAAAAATACAGTTTTGTAGTAAGAAGCAAGCAATACATTTTCATAGTGTAAACTACCAACAATACATTATTAGAAAAGGAAGTGAAAAATTACCTGCAGCAGATTTTTAAAAAACTACCAAAGCTCCCAAGAAAATTAAATTTCAGCATTAAATGATCCATAAGAAGTTGGTATGCCGTGAAACAAACCGAACCAACTTAACTATATAATATCTCCAGGCCTTATCTTACCTCCTGAGAAAGCAGTTAAAATGAATCATATTGGAGTGGTTTGAAAATTGACTCTGCTGGAGAAATCTGATACGTATACAAACTGAATATTTTCAATGAAAGGAAGTAATTTTTTTTACAGACGAAATTATTTGGTCTGTGTAATCAATTTGATGTTTAGAGAATTGCTGAGGTGGTTGAAGTGAAAATCTTTAAAACGCTGTAACTTCCCTTGTTTTTCCCGGTTGGTGAGAACGAGGTTGAAAGCTAAAACCAATGACACGTGTTTTGAAATCTCAACCTTGTCTCGTCTCTGGAGAAAGCAGGTAAAAATTGTTGAAGCCGTTACATGGGGGAACATACTTACACAGTATATCTTCCTACTGGATTAATTTGATACTTGTAGTAACATACATATGAAAACTAGTATTCTTTTAGTACTTGCATACAAATGTGTATGTCGTAACTCTAATAGACGGTGTTACTAGTACTAAAATTAGATCGACACAAAGAGAGACCAATCCACAAAATGTTGCATAATTTCTTTTCAAATGCGAGGGTACAACACACACCATTACAAAGACAAATAGTAGGTCAACTAATCTACACTAATTTAATCCTTAGGACCCAATATCGTGAACCTCCCAGAGAGAATAAAAAAAAACCGAAGTCGGCAACTTAAACCTAGTAATCGCTCTCGCCTTGGATTGATTGGCCCATCACTTGCCGACAATGAAAGAAATATCATTCCGTGCTACACAACTACTGACTGCAATCTGGCTTCTAAGGAAGCGCAGGTAAGAAAATCTTTACCGTCTTTATTCCATTATATGAGTATTCATTCTATATATAACACATTACTGATTAGAATTCGGACAGGTAGCGAGTTTGGATCATAATACTTCGAGACTAGTCAGTAACTAGATGGGTAACAGCTAGCGAATAGCAGGTGTTGTAAGCGTTGAAATATAATCGTTATATTAGCTTACGCGCACGAGAGCAACCCCCCCCCCAAAAAAAAAAAACTTGAGAAACGCATGAATCCGCCTCTTCCCCACCTCTCGATACGGGTTAATTAGTATTGTATCAGTAAAAATCAATATTATCTCCAAAAATTTCCTACAAGTGAAAATATTTTATGATTTTAAATAACGAGTAAGAGGTTGATAATCCGTAAAAAAAAACAACAAATCAGTCAATCAAGCACGCCGCATGATTTTTATTTCATTTTCCTCTTTTCTTTTACGAAATGTAATTAATTCCCAAATAATGCCCTCCACTCTTGTATTCTTTCATTGTTTGCTTTTTGCATTTCAATTACATGTGTATATAGATATATTGTTACCATTTTCCCCCGGCTGATGCTAACCTCCAGTATACTGACTCGTTACACCTTCTCGGGTTAACGCTTTCCACTGACATGAAATGGACAGATTCTATTGAATCAATTGCTACGTCTGCTGCTAGGAATATTGGTTTACAGTGTCGTTCTAGACAATTTTTTTCGCCTGAATCTATCTCACATATTTCTGAATTTACCGTTCCTTCATGCTTTGAATATTGCTTCCACATATGGTCTGCTTCTTATGCTAACTATTTAATGTCTTGTTAAAATACGAAGAAAAATCTATCTACATTATTCGGACTATTGTCCTCATCTTTGTCGCCATATTTATTACAACGTTTTGGCCGTTGTACGCTCCGGCCTTCTTCAGGTTGTTGGAATGTCGAACTGAACCCTTTATTTCTCTCACTGGGGTAGACTGTTCTAGTTCCACGTGCCATGTTTAATGGATGTCAGTTATCAGTTATCTCCTGTTAATTCCCCTCTGAAAGTTCTCCACTGCCTTAATCGGGTATTGAACTCACTCTCTTTGGGGCCTGTCACTGGATCTAATCAATGCCTTTATTCATTGTGCCACGTGTCCTTGTCATCCGTACATATGGCAACTAGTTAGGACTCCATAGAGACTTTGAGATATTATAGTGGCTGTACTAAGAAGGGCAAGTAAGAATGTGTTGTTTTGGTGTAAGGAATACAGTTGTATGCTTGGGTTAGTAATTTTGGTTAGTTAAGTTGAATTAGAAAAGGGAATAAGACCAGCCTTCCCCTATCCCCCTCTTGTCCTTGTGCCACATTTTTGTATTTTACAAAATAAATATTCTTTCTTCTTTAGTACCTAGACTACGAATTTAAGTGCAATAATAGATTGACAAGGTTTGAATATTTTAATTTGAAATGACTAGATGCAACCGTAAGTTCTATGTTAAGATTTTCTTTTCTCGTACTTCTCGTTTGTGGAACACTCTTCATGCTTTCCAGTCAAGATTGATCTTCAAAAATTTAAATGCAATGGCAGTCATTTATTTAAGTTTACCTAATTTCTGTTTTATCATTCTCGCTCATTTATAATATTTTTCTTTTTCTTATATGCTTTCAGGCTCATTAACTCCCTGTAAGTTAGTGACTTTGTTGACTTTCTTGGGGTGAAATGATTACAAAAAACAGAAATCTGAAAAAAAAAAACTCTGTCTTATTAAGTCAGTCTGTTAAGTGGCGTATGCTATACAGGCTTGGCCGATCATGTCTCTTTCGATTCATGACTGACTGGAAAGACGATTTTTCCACGAGTTGGTTGCCGTTTCTTTCTGTGGTAGGCTGGTTGCCAACCAAGGCTCTAGAGCACAATCTATTCCTGCTATTCAACCCATAGTTGGAAGGGGGAAAAGAGTTGGATTCATATCTTTTTCAAGCGTATTTGCCTGTAAATGAATATAACGAACCTGACTGAATCTCGAACTCTCTGATTTCTCATTTCGAGCCGATGTTGCTTACGTTCATGTAATTGCACTAAAAAATCAATGTCCACAGCAGGTTCTTTCTTCGATCACTGGCTGATCGGCGCTAAATCTCATTTGCGTGATGATGCAGTGGCCGAAGGAATTATTAAGTCACATCGTAACGTGGAGGATCTCTTTATTAGTATTTTAATGAATTATTAAGGATTTGATTTCACGTCTGAGTGAAGCATTTCTTAAAATCATATATAAAAGTATATTTTCGTTGCTTAGAATATTGTGAACTGGATGATAAATGCTCCATCCTTTTTGGAGTGTTCTGTTTTGGTTGTATCTGCTTAATTCAATTGGTGTTTTCTAACAAACCATTTTTCTTCCTTCAATATCCACACTGTAAATCATCCCTGTATCTTGTGTTTTTTTTATTGTTTTTTCTTTGTTTCTTTCGCTTCTCACTTTCATTCTAATGTATTTTCTTTGCCTTCTCCTTTTCGTTTAATTTTTTATTTTAATCTCGTTCTTCTCGATGCCTTTTATCAACTTTCCAGGCTTTCATGTTCTCTACAGCGCATGCGTGTCTTTTAACACGACACACCATTTGCAACGAGATACGTGCGTCATAACGTCTACGATTTTCTTTAAGCACAACAATTTCTGCCTTTAAATTTCACGCACGTATGGCTTTAGCATCTTTACCTTAACACCCGACCTTATGGTAAAGTATAGGACAGAATGTTTTTCCACTTCGAGGCTCCTTTGATGTGAAATATTTCATTGATAAATAAATAACGAAAGAAATAAATGAAGGCGTTTCAACTCTACAACTGACGAGGGCAGACCTTGCAATCAATGATTGTATTTAAGCATCACTGCATGGCTTAGAGGGCTACAAAATTCCAGCTTTTTGTGCCGTGCTTAATATCCAATACAACCTTTCTTTTTCTTTTTTCCTTTCTAACAAGCCCCACGTTTATATATATATATATATATATATATATATATATATATATATATATGTGTGTGTGTGTGTGTGTGTGTGTGTGTGTGTGTGTGTGTGTGTGTGTGTGTGTGTGCCATTCGCAGACTACTGTTTCGCTGTATCACAGATCCTCAGTACGACTAGACATACGAATGCCTTAAGCCCAGATCGAAACGCAACCCGATTTAGTACCAGGCATAATTTCCACCATTGAGCTATCTTCATTCGACAGAGAGAAACAGCTAAATCTAGCGTATTGTTTTTACGAATGTAAACAAATGGCAATCAGCCGGAGGGCTCCAATTCATTTTATTGAAGAGCTTTGCATTAACGCAGGTAACTGTTGTTTATAGAATTAGCCTATCACCCAACAGTGCTCAAGTGAAATATACTTTCAAAACACACAACACACACACACACACACACACACACACACACACACACACACACATATATATATATATATATATATATATATATATATATATATATATATCAAAGTTGATACTGAGGCCAAAAACCGAGCGGTGAGTTTCTGTTTCATGCTTGAACGCAATCTTAAGTCTACCCGAGACAATGTAGTCAAGGTCTTAGCAAATAACCTGGAGAATTCGTTTAAGCATCAAACACATTGTCGCCACTCTGTGTTGATCCCAAC